GACTACAATCACCCAGAAAGCTGGCTGAAGACCATCTCTTTGAAGCAGAATTGGGCACCTAGCATTGGACATCTCTACCATTGCAGAGGCTTCATGGATGGAATAGGGCAAGGAGGGCCCTGGGTCTGCAACTTCTTTCTGTTTGTTAAGATTTCCTTTTATTTTTAATTGCATGTTTTTGAACCCGTCTGAATGTGGGTATGTGCACCGTAGTGCAGATAACCTCAGAGGCCAGAAGAAGGCATCTGGCCACCAGGAGTTAGAGATATAAGCTATCATGAGCCTCCTGGTGTGGGTGCTGTGAATTGATCGCAGGTCCTCCGGAAGAGCAGCAAATGGTTCTAACCACTGAGCTTCTCTCCAGCCTCAAGTTCTGCAACTTGTACTAGGTACATTGTGAGTGTTGTCAGGCCACGGGGATGGTGCTTGTGGACCCTGCTGCTTCCAAAGATGGGGCCTGTTGTAAGTATAAGGCAGTTCCAGTTGATCCACTCCACAAGCTCACTTCTTGCTCATTTAAAAATTTTTTTCTACATAAAAGCCCCGGAAATCTGCATTTAAATGTCCAGATTTGTCCAGACCTGGTAGTTTGTGCCTGTAATTCCACCACTTGGGTGGGAGATGCTAACTCTCTGAGACAGAGCATTGGGGTTAATCTGTCCCTTCGTGTTCCCCAATCAGCCTCCCTCTTCGCTGACCGCTGTGCTGACTCTTAGCCAAGACAAGCACTGCTGGCCTCTTTCAGTTGGTGGCTGCTGCCCTCTGGTGACAATTTGGGTATCTACACCCAGGGAGCATTAGCCTAGATCCTGGGTGCAAATGATGCTGCAAACAGAAGCCACACATTCCCTGAAACTCTGTGAGGCATAAGTACCAAAGGGACCCTGTGAAATGAACTCCATGTTGGTACAGATGCCACCCAGCCCCCAAGACCCAAGGCACAATTGTGCTGCCAGTCTTGCCTGGGCCCCTTCCTCTTCAGGGGTCTTTAGTTCCAACCCCTTAAGTGCTCAGGCCCAGATGGGTCCTCTGAGGAAAGTCAGGTAGATCTCCCAACCCAGGGCCTCATCTTCATTGCATCTATAGTCTTTTTCACCCAGCATGCTTTCATGGCCTCTGTCCATGGGCCAGGGCAACGCCTAGATGACAAGGGTCTGGGATTAAGATGTAGGTAACCAGGTAGTGGTGGCACATGCTTTTAATCCCAGCACTCAGGAGGCAGAGGCAGGAGGATCTCAGTGAGTCCCAGGTCCCCCTAGTCTACAGAACTAGTTTCAGGACAGCTAAAGCTACATAAAGAAACCCTGTTTCCAAAAACAAACAACAAACAAAAAGATACAAGCCCTGAGAGGAGTTTTCTACCATGTTGTTTTTCCCCTGCAATGGAGATAAGACCATCTTTAAACACACACACACACACACACACACACACAGAGAGAGAGAGAGAGAGAGAGAGAGAGAGAGAGAGAGAGAGAGAGAGAGAGAGAGAGAGAGAGAGAGAGAGATGGGCATGGCAGGTGAATGCCTTTAATCCCAACATTCCAAAGGCAGAGGCAAGTGGATCTTTGTGAGTGCAGGCCAGCCAGAGATACATAGTGAGACTGTCTCAAAAACAAAAACAAATAATCAAAAACCTCCCCAAGGAAAGGCCAGGGACCATGAAGATCTGGGGAGTCCCCACCTAGCATGGAGAGAAAACAAAAGAAACTTAGAGCCACAGACAGTCCTGGAGAAAGGAAGGCAAGAGTTCTGACCATTGTCAGCAAAAACAAAGGGTCAAGTTTACCTCCATGAAGCCAGTAAGAGACACTAAAGCCCCCCTCCTCTCCTCCTCTTCCCTCTCTTCTCTTCCCTCCCTCCTTTGTCTTCTCTTCCCTCCCTCCTCTCTTTCCTCTTCCCTCTCTTCTCTTCCCTCCCTCCTCTCCTTCCTCACTTTTCTCATTCCTGTCATACTTCTTCCTCCTCCATTCCTGCCTCCCATCTACCCATCTTTCTTTCTCTTTGAGTCTATTGGGATGGCCTCCAGCTCACCCTGGTTCAGAGACTTCCTGTGTTCCTACCTCCTGAAGGCCCATCCTTCTGGAAACCTTGTTGTCCCTGTTGGAACAACCAACATCACAGCCAAAGACTGGGAATTCCGTATGCCCCAGGCATTTCACAGGCATGGAGTGGGAACGGGGCTCTGCATGGTACCGCCTTTGTGTTTCTTCTCTTCCTGACAGGGACGAAGGGATACTTCTTGAATGGCATGTTCTGGTCTACACCAGGAGAGGCTCCCCTGGCCCCTTTTCTTTCTTAGCACAATGAAAAGAAAAACACACCCACCTGATTTCATCAGAATTATGAAATTTTGGGGCTGCAGAGATGGCTCAGAGGTTAAGAGCACTGGCTGCTCTTCTAGAGGTCCTGAGTTCAATTCCCAGCAACCACATGGTGGCTCACAACCTTCTATGATGAGGCCTGGTGTCCTCTTCTGGTCTGCAGGCAGAATACTATCTACACAATAAATAAATCTTTAAAAACAAAATATGAACTTTTTATTGCAGGATCTTATGAACAGACTGAAAATGGAGCACAAAATGCAGGGGTTTACAGAACACACATCTGACAGGAGATTGACACCCAGAATAAAAAATAAATAAATAAGATGGGTCTGGTGCTGCATACCTATAACCCCCAGCGTTTGGAAGGTCAGAAGTTTAAGGTCATACTGAGCTCCACGGGGGACAGTTCAAGACAAGCCTGAGCAATTTGAGACCTTGTCTCAAAACAAAGAATCATGGGAAAAAACAGTAGACAACAAACTCCATGCCAGTGGCTCTCCTGGGATTGGGACTACTGAGGCGTCTAGCTTCCGGGACTGGGAAGCTGTCTCTTCATCTGCAGGGTGCAGACAGCCATGCTAGACTCCCAGCCCTCACTTACATCAGCCCAATAAACCCCCTTCTGTTGCTTCTGCTCCTATAATGAGCCCTCCCAGCCTAGTAAAAATGTGTATAGTTCTGTGCTCACATGAGTGCTGCCAGCAGAAGCCAGCAGAGGGCCTCTGATCCCCTGGAGATGGAGTCAGAGGCGACTGTGAGCAGCTAAGCATGGGTGTTGGCAACCAGCAGCAGGTCCTCTGGGAGAGCATTAAGAGCTGGACCACCTTTGCAGCTCTCATTTGTCTTTCTATGCAACCTCAGGAGTCTTCCTGGGATACATAGTGAGACCCTATGTATTGTTCAAAAACAACTAAAAACACTTGAAAGGGGTGAATTTCAAATCAATTTAAAGGCCGGGTGTGATAGAGCATGCCTTTAATTCCAGCACTTGAGAGGCAGAGGCAGATGGATCTATGTGAGTTCAAGGCCAGCCTGGTCTACAAAGCTAGCATCAGGACAGCTAGGGCTGTTACACAGAGAAACCCTGACTCAGAAAACACACACACACACACACACACACACACACACACACACACACACAATCAATGTAAAGAAATGTAAAGCGACACTGCTGGGTATGCTGTGAGCATCTGGGTTTCACTGGGCCTGCAGCTCAGCCACTCAGCAAGGGTGGCTGGCTATGAGCACCAGAAATCCACCTGTGTCCAGTAGAGTTGGGGTCACAGATGGGCACCACCTTCTCTGGATTTTGTGGACATAAGGATCTGAACTCAGGCCCTCACACTTGTAAAGCAGGCCCTTTGCCCACTGAAGCTCTAGAACAAACCCCTACCTTATTTTTAACTCATGGATAGTAATTGTACACGGTTATGGGGAGCATACTGTATTGTTAGTGAAAACTCCGGGTGGTGGTGGCACACACCTTCTTTTAATCCTAGCATTTGGGAGGCAGAGACAAGCAGATCTCTATGAGTTCGAGCCCAGCCTGGTCTAGAGTGAGTTCCATCATGGCCAGGGCTACACAGAGAAACCCTGTCTGTAAAACATCAGATAGATAGGTAGATGATGGATGGATGGATGGATGGGTAGATAGATAAAGCTTAACAAAGTTAATGAACACTCAACTCAGGACAGTTAACATCTCCACAACCTCCACCATGCATCAACTTTTTCTGATGACAATATTCTAGTTCCTCTATTTTACTGATACTAATCTACATATTACCGGACCGTGGCTCAACAGTTAAGAGCACTTTGTTGCTCTTGCGGAGGCCCTGACCCACACAGCTGCTCACACCCAACCCTAACTCTAGTTCTAGGGCAGCGTTTCTCAACCTGTGGTTTGCGACCCATTTGGGCTAAATGATCCTTTCATCGGAGTCACCTAAGACAGTCAAAAAACACAGATATTTACATTACGATTCATAACAATATGAAAATTACAGTCATGGAGTAGCAACGAAAATAATTTTATGGTTGGAGATCACCACGAGACACTGTATTAAAGGGTCACAGCATTAGGAAGGTTGAGAACCATTGGTCTAGAGACTCCACATCCTTTCTGGCCTCTGTGGGCACTGCACCCATGAGGGGCACTTAAACTACAAATGCTCATACACATAACAAAAACAAGTATTTCTTAATGTTTTTTAAATGTTTTACATGTATGGGTATTTCCTCTGTGTACCATATGTGAGCCTACCAGAAGAGGGTGTCAAAGCCTCTTAAAGACAGTTGTGAGCCATCATGTGAGTGCCGGGAGTTGAAAGAAAGAACAGCTCCTGAGTCATCTCTCCAGCCCATAAATAAAACTTTTTAAAATCGTGCTGGAACGCGATCCGGCCGCAGTGGGCATCCCTATGGCCTGCAGCTGTCCTCCCAGTCCCCCACTCAGGGAGCTGCACAGCCTCGCAGCAGTAAACGTGGAACCTCAAGTTCCACCCAGACCATCCTCGTTCCATCGCGGGCTAACAATCTGTCAGGCGCAGGAGCGGGAAACACCGCGCGCAAGCGCTTAAGACTGGTTCAAGTGTCGAAACTACCGAGACAGCCAAGACAGTCCGGGCAGAAGCGGATACGGCCACACTCGAGGCGCATGCGTGGGGTTTGAAATTCTCGCGAGAGACTGGGCGGGAAAGCCCGCGGTGATTTCCTAAGTGGAGTCGCTGAGGGGCGGCCGGCGCGTCACTGCCATGGATCCCTTCTTGGTGCTGCTGCACTCGCTGTCTAGCAGCCTGTCGAGCAGCGATCTGATGGAGCTAAAGTTCCTGTGCCGTGAGCGCGTGAGCAAACGAAAGCTGGAGCGTGTGCAGAGTGGCCTGGACCTGTTCTCAGTGCTGCTGGAGCAGAACGATCTGGAGCGCACACGCACGGGGCTGCTGCGTGAGCTGCTGGCCTCGCTGCGCAGACACGACCTCCTGCAACGCCTGGACGACTTTGAAGCGGGGACGGCGGCCTCGGCCTCGCCGGGGGAGGCAGGTGGGCTGGGGGGCGGGAGGAGGCCAGGAGGTTGATGGAGGCCCAGAGGCGGGGGAATGGGCAGGGAAGGCTGGCCACTACCCTAGTCTTAGGGTCCCCTTTGCGAGCTGCTACTCCGAAGGACTCTGGGGGCACGCCCACTTTTCGGATGAGCGAGCCGGAACTAGGGAGTTTGAGTGCCAGTCTTACTTGCAGTGCCGCGATTGAACCCAGAGTATTGCTGGTGCTAAGGAAATGCTCTCTGACGACTTGCCCCAGCACCAAGATTAACTCACCTGTAGTGCTTGACTCCCCACTCTCCGGGTAAATTGAAAACTCAACTAAGAAATGGATGTGGCTAAGTCACCCTAACCCCAATGAGAGTAAAGTTGAAGAGGGTAGGAAAAGATCAAGTGTGCTTGCTACTCGTCACCATTTCCGTAGTGGGAGTGTCACTGTCCAAGCAGTTTGCTTCCTAGCCAAAGGAGAACTATGCTGCAGCTGAGCTCCCGGTCCACAGTGCGCAATGCCTGTTTATCCGCTCTTACTTCCGTTTTGCAGTAGAGAGAGGGCACTATGCCTTCCCATAGTGCACCGTGGATAGTAGCAGCCACAACTGAGCCACATCAGTCTGACCTTGGGGTGTGGATACAGAGTAAGCATACGTTAGGCTCTTCCTCACTTGTGACAAATACCCAAGAAGCCATTTAAATGGGCAAAGGTTTATTTAGCTTCTGGTGGCTGGCTCAGCTGCTCTTAGTCTGCAGTGAAGCAGGAAATCAAAGCAGCTGAGGGCATAGTGGAGCAGTGCTGGTTACCTCATGGTGACCAGGAAGCATAGTGACAGAAGCTTGAGACAAAATACACTCCCCCAACACAGTACAGCCGTTACACTGCCTCTGAGTAGGGCTGTCTCTGAAGGTTCCCACCACCTTGCAGTAACACCATCAAATTAGGAATCAGCACTGACCTAGAACTGTCATGATCCATTTTCCTTTCCATGATTGGATCTACCATTGAGGAAATAATCCTTATAGGAGCCTCTGGGACCCTGAAGGTCTCCATAGTCAAAAGCTCTGAAATCTAAAATGCAGACAAAATCAGACCCCCAAGTACTGACACCACATACTGCCACAATTTGTTTCATTTGAAACATAGATAATTTCTTCTGCCAGTGTGTACAATATGTGTAAGAAAATGGGTGTGCAGCACTCGGGAGGCAGAGGCAGGCGGATCTCTGTGAGTTCGAGGCCAGCCTGGTCTACAGAGTGAGTTCCAGGACAGCCTCCAAAAACAATACAGAGAAACCCTGTGTCGAAAAATCAAAAAAAAAAAAAAAGAAAGAAAAAGAAAAGAAAATGGGTGTGTATTCACATCTCCAAGGCATTTAAGTGTGTGGGCATCATTGCAGAAATCCAGTAAGGGGTTCTCAGACACTGCCCAGGGCTCCCTGGACCACTTAGTCATGTCCTTTCACCTTGCCTGTGCCTGGCAGGGGCTCCAGAGTGTGGCAAGGATGGCCCTTTTCATTTTCCCTAGTCAAACCAGCAAAAGTCATCGTGTAAAATGAAGTGAATGTAGCTTTGGGGGACTTTGGCCAGCCCATTATTGAGGGTGTGAAAGTGGCCCTAATTTTTTTTCCCTCTGACTCCCCAGCCTCCCCTCAGTTTCTGCTCTTTTAAGCTGTACCTTGCTGTGACCCATTCTGAGGGAGTAGAACTAGGTCATTATAGGCCTCTTAAAATAGCTCCTGGGCTACTAAGTGTCTCTGTCTGCACAGGACCTGCCTGCCTGGCTTCAGTGGTGTTGACTTTGAAATACACAGGTCCACATTGGCGACCATGGGAAGACTTCTTGGATTCTGTAAGTCATGCAGCTGGTTTTTTTTTCCCCTCTTAGATCTGCAGGTGGCCTTTGACATCGTGTGTGACAATGTGGGGAGAGAATGGAAGAGACTGGCCCGCCAGCTGAAAGTGTCTGAGGTCAAAATTGATGGGATTGAGGCGAAGTACCCCCGAAGCCTGAGTGAACAGGTAAGGGAGGCTCTGAGAGTCTGGAAGCTTGCCGAGAGGGAGACAGCCACGGTGGCTGGACTGGTAAAGGCGCTGCGGGCCTGCCGGCTGAACCTAGTGGCTGACCTGGTGGAAGAAACACTTCAGGCCCAGGGACCTGTGAATGAGAGGGAGGACGTGTCCCCAGTGCTGTGGGACTCCACTGTGTCTTCCTCTGAAGCACCGTGACAAGCCTGCCGCTCCTGTCAGGAGTCACTGTGGACTTGACACACACTATGATACATCACCAAGTGCCTTCTGTGCCCAGCGCCAAGAAGACCTTGTTGGTCCAGGCCGGAGCCCACTCACAATCTTGTACCAGCTCCTGAAGTAAAGCTGTATGTATAGAACCTCTGCTTCCTGAGCTTTGGGGACACATGGAGCCTCCCCTTCTGTTCTCCACTGCTGCTCCTTCCTCTGAGAGAAGTCCCTGGTCCTGCAAGGAGGAAGTTGGAGCTAATGACACACATGCTGAGAGCTTGAGAGCCTTCCTGCTGTTCTTTGGGGCAGGACACCAGCTCGGTTCAGAGCACTGGGCTGCCTCACAGTTGGCCATGAGGACATCTGTCCCATATCCTTGGAGGCCATCAGAGAACAGCTCCTGATCCCCAAACAAGTGTCACTTAACTTGCAGGAGCCTGGCACACTGCACCCTGGCACATCAGCTCCTGCGAGAACTGATTCTAAAGTTTACTACCTACCAAAATTGCTGCCTCCGGGAGGGCTGTGGTGTAAAGGGTAGCTCCCCTGCTTCACTTGGTTTTGAAGCAAGTGCCTAGATATAGTGACTCACTCTGAAATCCTAGCATTTGAGAGATGAGAATTGCACTCCATGGCAATGTGAATGAGGGCTTCTCACAAAAACAAAAGCAAGTGTCTTTACCTGGAAACACCCTTGTCACCCAGAATTTCCACTCTGTTAAAGTCCCTTCTAATCTCAGAAGTCCAGCAGGCTGACAGCAGTGTCTTTACAGCCCTAGGTGCTAATTGTGAATGGGTGGTGGGATTTCCTGTCTGGTTTGCTTCACACCAACAGGGGGCTCTATTTGCCACACTGGGTGGCCAACTAACCATTGTCCCGACTTTCTAACCTTTGACTGGGCACACCTTTGATCATAGCACTCAGGGAGGCAGAGGCTGGTGGATTTCTAATCTGTGAGTTTGAAGACAGCCCGGTCTACATAGCAAACTACAGCTGAGAGACACCACATGGAAAGATACTATCTCAAAAGTTCATGTCTGGAGTTGATGCTCCTAGACCCAGGGTTTACCTGACAGAGTGAAGAGCTGCACCTCACCGTCCTAAACCTAGTGTTTGTGTCACAAGTGACCAGCCTGGGGCCTGTGCTTAAACATTGACCAACCGTTTCTTGGCACTGAGGTTCTGTGCCCTCATTTCCCCTTTTCTGCTCTCTTCAACCCCACTCCCCATTATTGTTGGTCCCTTCCTTAGACTGCACACTCCCCAGCCTCAAGCCTACTAAACTTTTCCCCAGCACCTATCCCTATGGCTGTGCTGCCTTGCGCAAACTCTTGGCACCAAGGCCTCTCCTGATGACTCTGGGGACTCATCCTGTTTTCTCTGACTCTATGTCCCACCTGCCTGCAGCCACAACTCTCTTGACTCTCTAGAATATGCATAGGCCTGTCCAAGGTCTCTGGTAGGTGTTTGCTGTGGTCCTCTCTATCCCTCCCCCCCACCATCATTTTGAGGGCTTTTGGTTTGTTTTGAGATAGGGCTTCCTGTAACCCAGATATAGCCTCAGGCTTAGATTGGCCTCAAGCTCACCGAGTAACTGAAGTGGCCTTGAACTCCTTCCTGATCACTCTGCCCCTGCTTCACAAGTGCCATGAGTACCAGTGTGGCAGCCCTACTCAGGCCCAAGTCTTTATACACTCCAGGCAGCCTGGGCAACCCTCCTGAGACTTGCTGATGCCTTTTAAGTGTCCTGTGGCAAGTCAAAGGTTGATGGACTTGGGTGTCACTTTTTTTTTTCCAAACAACTCAGGAGTACAAAATTGCTCTCCAGAGAGCTCAGTTCGGATGTGAGCAGGCCTGTGTCCTTCCAGATTTAAGAGAATGTTCCATGGCTTTTAGAGCCCCCTCATTGTGTCTCTTGCAGCATTCCCCTCCCCTCTTCAAGTGACAGTTTAGTATTGGGTCTTGGTTGCTGCTGCTACAGGGCTTGTGGGCCACCAGAGGAATTTATCCCTATGTACAGAGTTCTTTGAGCCATTTGGGGGGATTAAAACATGAGTATCATCAGGGTCAACACCCCACAAATCTCCATCTCCCCAGCTTGTGCCCAGTCTTGCCCTGGGCTCCTCTGCACCCCCCTGTTAATGGCCAGTCAGAGCCATGTACTCACAGGTGACTCTGTCCACCTGGCCTGCCCTTCATTCCTCAGCTCCTACAGGACCTTGGCTCTTGCCCATCCCCCACCAAGGGTTAGAACCACAGACCAGCCTGTTCCTAGAAGCCAGCCACCCTGCATATTTTTAGCTTCCTATTTTTGAATTCCACAATCATTTCTGAGTCATCCAGCTGACTGCCTTCTGGTCACAAGGTCCCTGTGTGAACTATGTTTCGAACCAGACAGTGGAACATGATGTGATGGAATGTGTGATGTAGCCACCACGGACCATGGTCTTCTAGTAGCTGATGCAGAGGCAGTACTGGTTTGCTACAAGATGTGCGCTAGGAAGCCCACGAATCTTGAGTCATGTGCTAAGTGGAGGCTGGCCTGAGGGATGTTTGCCTGCCACAAGACTCATCAAGGCTGCACTGAGCGAAAGCCAAGTGGCAGGCTTGAGTTTGTTTTGGTGTAGCCAGAACAGGACAGCATCGTGGGCATGTGTGTGGAAGTCCCCGGACTCCCAAAGCCAGAATGGACTAGAGATGATGTATTGCCCCTGTCCATCAAAATAAGGCGGACATGCTGCTCATACCTGGTATCCCAACACTGGAGGCTGAAGCAGGAGGACTGCTGAATTTTAAGACCATCCTGAACTAAACAGACCTCACTCATCTCAAACAAAGCCAGGTGTGACGTGGTGTATACACCTGCAATCCCAGCACTTGGGAGGCTGAGAGGATCGGTTCCAGGTATGGTCTCTTACTGAGTCCAAGTCCAGTCTAAGCTGCATGAGACCCACCTCACTGCCAAAGAAACCCCACACTGCATATTTGGATAGGCACAAACCCCACACTGCATATTTGGATAGGCACAAACCCCACACTGCATATTTGGATAGGCACAAACCCCATACTGCATATTTGGATAGGCACAGGACTCCTGTAGAGTGCAGAAGACAGTCCCTGTGCTCAGTAGTGAGTGCAGCAGACTTTTCATTTATTGGTGGTTATGAGGTCTGGGAGATTTCAGTGCAGTTTTTTATATGGATATGGCAGAGTTCCACTGTTAGTGAAAGCCCAGGACAGAGGCACTTTTTCCCATGGGACTCCTGGTTGGAGGCAATAGAACACAGCTAGTGCCCTCCATATAAGGTCACCAGTCATCACTCATACACTACATTCCTCTCCCTCCTTTAGCTCACAGCTAAAACCCAGCTCATATACCCGATGGCAGCTGAAACTGCCACCAACTTGACTGTAGACCCCAGGCTAATCTTGTTCCTACCATCCTTGTGTCCTTGAGGAACCAATTCAAGCCCATCCCAGCAGCTTGAGTAAAATTTTTGCTTCCTCCAAGTTTGCACAGACACATTGAAAGACCCAGTTGTCCCCCAACTTTCCCACGAGCAGGAAAAGCACTTGGAAAGATCCTGAGGTTTCTTTTCGCTGGAAGGTCAACTTAGGCAGGGATAGTCATCCCTCTGGGGGCAAGTGTGTTCATTGGTGCTGTATCCATCCATGGTTTCCCTACAGCCCTGGCCCAAGACAGAGGAGATACTCCCCACTTGTCATATTACCTCAGGCCCCCAGGGGGTGGAACTCCCCAAGCAAATCAGTGACTGCTTGTACACACTCGTTTGTAACAGGCTCCCATCCCAGACTGAGGCCTAGTTTATATGGTGCTGGGACTGGAACCAGGGGCTTTGTGCATGCTAGGCAAGCACTTTACTGATCTATACCCAAGCCTGCATTGGGGGAGCATGCTGAGACCTTGCCAACCCCAAGGGACCATTGTACATAAGCCATGCTCCTACCCCCTAAAAGTCCTTGCTCCAGGCACAACTACTTTAGACAGCCTATCAGGCCCAAGCCTGGATGCCTTCATTGACTGCAGCCATCTTCAACCCTTGGAATTCAATGGAAACTTCTGTGCTTGGTATAGATACATTGTTCCATTTGAGTGCTACACCCTTGCCCTAATACCCTTTGCTGCTTCCTGATGTTGCAACATTAGGCCCAATAAAAGGCTTTTTCTCTAGAAGCAGGAGCAGCCACTGTTTCACAGCAGCAATTTTAGCAGCAGGAGGCTGGGGCAAGAAGCTGGTCACTGTAGGTTCTTGAGAACTGCCAGCTCTTGTAGGATGCAGGCGCCCAGAGTTCGGGAGCTGTAGAATAGCCACTGCTAATGCTGCTATTGATGGCTGTAAGCAATAGGAGGTGTGTCCTTTCAGCCCATGTGGCACATGCTAAAATTTATTATTGGGTGTGTGGGCATTCCTGATGTAATGTGCAGGTGTAGGTCAGGGAACAACTAGGTGGAATTAGTTTTCTTATATCATCTTTCTGTAGGTTCTAGGGATATAACTCAGGTTTCCAGGCTTGCAGAGCAAATGCCTTTACCACATAAGCCATCTCACCTGCCTTGAGGATGTTTTTTGTTTTTGTATTCTTGTTATTTGTTTGCTTGGTAACTTGACCATAATTCTGTAGTGAATTTTGGAGATAACATCTTCTCTGGATGTCTGAAGGTTGGACACTGCCCCTGGAGCCATCAGTCTCTTCCTCTGAGGCCTGTAGTCATCCCTGTCCTGGAGGGGCTTGGAGCTCTAAGCCTGTCTTTGGTAGCACTGTCCTGGCCTTCACCTCCTGATGGCTCTGTACTACAGCCTTCTGGATGGTATATCTGGTGGGGAGATTGTGCTTGCAACCTTCAAGCACCTCTCTAGCTTCAGCCTCAGCAGAAGGAGCAATAGGAGACTCAGCCAGTGAGAAACAACTAGGATGGTGTATGTGGACAATGGTGGGAGGAGGGCTTGGGGTATATACAGTGACAGCAGTAGGGAGCAGTCTAGGGAGCCTTACAGGCTTGGCACAGGAGGGATCCTGGACTGGTGGTCTTCGGTTCTATACGGAAGCAGACTGAGCATGTCAGTGAGCAACACCCATGGCCTCTGCATCAGGTTCCTGTCCTGACTTCCTTCAGTGATGGACTATGATGTGAAAGTGTAAGCCGAATAAACCTTTTCCTCCCCAACTTGCTTTTGTCGTGCTGTGTCATTATAGCAATAGGAACTCTAAGAACCTGTCTCAAAAAATATTTTTTATAAAAAAGCAAAAAGTATCTGGGTGGTGTTGTCGTATGCCTTTAATCCCAGCACTCAGTCAGAGGCAGATGAATCTCTTGAGCTCAAGGCCAGCCTGGTGTATTGTGATATTTTGTTTGTGATCTAATAAATCTTGTCTGAAGATCAGAATGTGGAGCTAGTCACACCAGTTAGCCATAGATGCCAGGCAGTGGTGGCACACACCTTTAATTCCAGCCCTCAGGAGTAGGAGACAGAGGCAGGATCTCTGAGTTCAAGGCCACCCTGATCTGCACGAGATTGATCCATTCTAAAAGAGAAACAGAGCCAGGCTGTGGTGGCTCACACCTTTAATTCCAGCCCTCAGGAGTAGGAGACAGAGGCAGGATCTCTGAGTTCAAGGCCACCCTGATCTGCATGAGATTGATCCATTCTAAAAGAGAAACAGAGCCAGGCTGTGGTGGCTCACACCCTTAATCCCAGTACCTGGGAGTCATGTGCCGTTAATCCCAGCACTAGGGAGTTAGAAACAGGAGTGATATGGCTGGGCAGAGAGAGGAATATAAGGCAGGAGACAGGAGCTCATGGCATTCAGTCTGAGGATTCATTGGGACAGGATTGCCCCTTTGGTCTGAGGATTCAGTAAAGGTAAGAGGTCTTTCTTGTGGCTGACTCCCTTGTCTAACTTTTCAGCATTTACCCTGATATCTGATTCTGGGTTTTTATTATTAAAGCCTACTAGAACTTGTACTACAGTCTACAGAGTGAGTTCCATGACAGCCAGGGCTATCAGAGAAACTCTGTGGGGTGGGGGTGGGGGGAGCAGAGTATAATGAATGCTGGTGTTTAGGTCAGTTTCGCCATTTATTATTTTTAAAGTTTTTAATTGCATTTTATATATTTGTAGGGGACACTGATGCATGATATGTGTGGAGGTCAGAGAACAACTTTTGGGAGTTGGTTGGTTCTCCTTCCACTTCTGAGTCCCAGGGGTTGAACTTGGGTTTTCAGGTTTGGCTGAAAGTGCCCTTACTAAGCCATCTCCCTGTCTGTCTTTCCTGCCTTGGGAAAGTCTCACCTACTATTAAGATAGGTCTTCCCACATAAATTAATGTAATCAAGATAATTACCCAGAGGCTGCTTAAAGATTCATCTCTCAGGTGATCTGGATTCTGTCAACTAGATAGTTCACATTAACCATCACAGTTGGATTTCATAAGATTAGAAGTTCTCCAGGAGGAAACAGTTCAGTCCTAGGAAACTGTGGGAAAGGCCAGGGGGGTGAAATTAGAGAGGTTAGCTGGCCTCAGGCAGGGGATTGAGAGTTGGAGATCAGCCTAGTCTACATAGTCAGGTTCTGTGTCCAAACTACCATTCCCATACACACAACCCCACCAAACAAAGAAATGCTGTATGGTGGCACATACTGGTGATCAGAAAGTGAAGGCAGGAAGATTGGTGTTCAAAGCCAGTCTTGGTCACATAGTGAGTTCCAAACCAGCATGGACTTTAGGAGACCCTGCCTCAAAAACAAAACAAAAACAAAAGGAGCCAGGCATGGTGGCACACACCTTTAATCCCAGCACTCAAGAGACAGAGGCAGGCAGATCCCTGAGTTCAGAGCCAGCCAGGGCTACATAAAGTGTCTATCTAATAGGGGGTGGGGTAGGAAAAGTGGGGAAAGAGAAGAAGAAGAAGAGGAGGAAGAGGAGGAGGGAGGGAGGAAGAGAAAGATGGCTAAACAAATACATTTCCAGAGTGGTGCCTCACCCCACCCCCAACTGATTTGCGGGCCACATGGTGATGTCTGTCACCATTTGGGGTACTTTGAGGTGTTATGTCAACAAATCACTCTGGCTTTGTACTCTGACAAATTCTTTGATGCAAGTGTCTGGTTTTCTGACCCTGATGGTGTGGGGAGACAGGCTCCATCCTCTCCTGCAGCAAGGAGGAAAGGAAGGTCTTCAGGTTGGCTGATTAGGACTGCATTGGGGTATCCAGGGGCGAGTGGGGGAGGAAGGCTCAGAGTCTAATTCCTAGATATGCTACCAGCCAGATGGAGCCAGCCTGACCTACCTGACCCATAGAACTTTCTGGTGCTTAATCAGACACCACTGACCCAAGAAAGTGGCAAAGTCTGTGATAGCAAAGTTTCCTCCTTCTTGGCTCAGCTAGAGCCATCTTTGGTTAAAGCTGAAACTGACCCCACCCCCTTTTGTCCGTCCAATGTGAAAAGTCCTGTGGAAAAGTACCCATTCCTAGTCTAGAAACTCAGTGTGGAAATGCCCCAGCTAACTGCATGTTTGCTTCTGTTAAAAGGCTTGCTTGCTTATTTCCTTCTACAACTGCCAATCAGGATGTAGTTTTTCTATATGCTTTGCTTTTAAAAGTTTCCTGTAAAATCCATTTGAGGCTGCTTTTTGAAAAGTATTTCTTTCTCTGCAAACAATTGCCAGCTGGCTGACTCTGAGTTGCCAGCTGACTCTCAGTTTGGAATTTGGTCCCACTGAGTGTTTCTTGGGTCTCTACCCTGCAACATTTGGAGGCCCCAGTGAGATCCTTTAGGAACCCTCACCAGTTTGACTAACCCTCAGGTCTCAGTGCACCTGTGAACCACAGTGGATGAGCACAGACTTCTTCCAAGGAGATACGCAACCAGAGCTCTGAGAGAGAAGATCTTGGCACTCCAACACCCTTGTCTAAATTTCCTTCAGTGAGAGTACCTGTTCTGTCATCTCCAGAAGTAAGTCTGGCTAAGGAGCCTTCTGTTTTGTTTTTGTTTGTTTGGGGTTTTTGTTTTTGTTTTTTTTTTGTTGTTGTTGTTGTTGTTGTTGTTGTTTTAGTCTTTTGAGACAGAGTTTCTCTGTGTAACAGTCCTGGCTGTACTAGAACTCACTTTGTAAACCAGGCTGGCTTTGAACTTTCAGAGATCCACCTGCCTCTGCCTCCTGAGTGCTGGGATTAAAGGCGTAAGCCACCACCACCCAGCTTTGGACACATAGGATCCAATGCCCAGGATCTGTGTGAAATGTCACTGAAATCCCCTGGTCCGTTCAGGTGTATGAGTGCATGGTGGTCACCCCTAATTTGTCTCTTTACTGTTATTATGTGTTCCTGTCTTGTCTTTCTGTCTCTTCTGGTTGGACTATTGCTTATTGTGAATTGAGGTCTGAAAAGTAGAAACTATGGGCAGTTTTGCTTCTAACCAGCTCATTTCTTTGAACTGTTCCCTCCACCATTTTCAGGAGAAAGACTTCAGAGGATACCTCTGACCTTTTGTGAATAGAGTGACCCTCTTTCGATGTTGAATGGCCATCTGTGGCCACATACGATTGCCAGACAACCAGATTAGTATGGCTGCTGGTCACAATACAATCATAGATTATTTTCTGTACCCACCAGCCTACCTACAATGATTGCCAGCAGTTACTGGCCACCCTGTTTACATTGGTAGAAAGGGACTGCATAAAGATAGAAGCTAAGAGGCAGGTGGTAGTGGCACACACCTTTAATCCCAGCACTTGGGAGGCAGAGGCAGGCAGATCTCTGTGAGTTCCAGGCCAGCCTGGTCTACAGAGTGAGTTTCAAGACAGGCTCCAAAGCTACACAGAGAAACCCTGTTTTGAGAAGTTAGAAGCTAAGAAAGCAGTCCTGGATCCAGACAGTGGATCTCTAGCTGATAATTTTCACATAGAGTATCTTTCAGTCTAACTGGCCCAGTTAGGATCCTAAAACCAATAAACTATGGGGACTCTGAACATCTACTACTGGCCTCCAAACAGCAGTGCAGAAGCCCACAAATCTGTCAAAGGTGAGTGAAGCTGTACAGGGGACCTCCGAGCATCCCACTATGTCCCTAGAGTGCCTTCTAGAGTCTTATAACCATAGACTTAGATGCACTGGAGGATAGGCAGGTGCTCAACGTCACCTTTGTCACCCATACAGTCCCAGATAATAGGAAAACGTTACAAAAGTTAGAGGGATTGAAAGGTATGTAAAACTCCCAGTTGCTGGAGGTAACTCAAAAGGTGTTTAACAACAGAGAACCAATTGAGGAAGGAGACATTTCTCATAAACTAAAAGTCACCATCACTGTCTCCCATGATGAGATACAGACTTACAGAAACCCCGCAAAATTTTGGTGTCTTGCCCTTTGTCAGAAGAAGATCTTCTAGCTGAGAGTCCTGCCCCCAGTCAAAAGATAAAGTTGGACTATCTCTCAGATTTACAACAAAGATTCCCAGGGTATGAGCAGAAACCAACTCCCCAGGACTGGCCCAACACCAAGTTCCTATAATTGTTCAACTAACTAGTTCATCTACTCCCATCCAGATTAAACAGTACCCAGTGACCCTGGAAGCAAAAGGGGGGAATTGCTGTCCATATTTCCCAGATTAGAGAGTCATTCTGGAATATACCTCTCCTGCCTATGAAGAAACCTGGATTTCTAACTATAGACCCATCCAAAACCATCCACACACCCCCATCCTAAATTCATACACTCTTATGAGTCTGATTCCTCTAGAGAAATATGTTACACTGTCTTAAACTTGAAACATGTATTATTCAACCTCCCATTGGCAGAGGTGAGTCAAGCCATTCTTGCTTTTGAATGAACAGATCCAGAGGGAGGTTACAGCAAGAAACTTTCCTGGACCAGGTTGCCCCAAGCATTTAAAACTCCAACCCTGTTTGATGAGGCACTAAGTATTGACCTCCTGCCCTTCCATCAGAGACTTTCCAGAACCATAATCTTACAGTACATAGATGACCTCCTCCTAGCCTCTGAAACTGAAATAGGTTATAAAAGAACCATTGAGGGACCACTAAAGAGTTACAGATCTTGGGATATAGAGTGTCAGCTAAGAAAGCCAAGCTTTGTACATTAGAGGCTACCTACCTCAGCTACCAGCTGAGGGGAGGCAAAGGGAGCCTGGATCCTTCAGATCCC